TTGCCCTGTTTTGTTATTACAGGCACAGGGGTGGGGGGGGAGCCCATTTCTCACATGTGCTAATGAAGGAATGATCTCTGCCCTTCTGTTTACTGTCCATGTGACTGGACTGCTTAGCAAATCGATACCCATCTCTGGCAGCATTGTTGTTCAGGGTAAATGGGTTATAATAACAGCACCGGGTTCAGTGTTGGTGCTTGATTGATATTTCCTCAGTTGGTTTTAGTATCGTGGTGTATGCCTGTAATCCCAGTACTCAGGAGGTTGAGGTAGGAGGATCATGAGTTTGAGGCCAGCCTTGGCTACATAGCAAAACTATGTCACAAAAAGGGAGAAAAACATCTTGAGTTGGGTAATAGGGCCAGGTTTGTAGAACATTCCATCTGCACCCTGTAGGGAAAAGCTGGGTCCTACACAGACACATTACTGGGAGGAAAGCTGAGACAGAGCAAGAGGAAGGAGGAAAAACGTTCCATGAATTGCCTAGAATTGTCCAATGAGCCATCCGAACCTGCAGAGGGGTGGCTGGCTCTCCTCCCAGCTCCTGCTGGGTGCCAAGGCGGGCTCTGCTTCACAGGTCTGCTCTGGGCCGTGACAGAAGTGTAGAGACAACAGCAGAGCTGTTCACCCCCACCCACTGTCCCCAGTTCCTGGACAAGGTCCCTGGAGATCCAGTTACTTCTGGTCAAATCCCTGGCCCTAGACACCTGCTGGGGAGGATAAAAGGAATGTAGCTCACAAAGCAAGAAGTAGAAGTCATCTCAAAAATTTTGATGGAGGTTCTGATGTTCCCAAATCACCAATATTGAACTGATTTCTCCCTACCCCTCTCCTTTCCTCCATTCCTTCCTTCTTTCATCCCTCCTCCTTCCCTTCCTTCCCTCCTTTTCATTTATTTATTTATTTTTGCCTTCTGTCCTCCTCTCTCCCACCATCTCTTTAGTACTTATCCAGAGCATTCTAGGCCCCAGGAGCCCTTCAGTAAAGGGGGGAAGGAACAAGGAGGAAGGAGACCCTGAAGAGAAATTCACATATTCAGTTCCTGACAGAGCTGATGTCTTGTTTAGCCAGCAGCTCCTTGGGAGAAATGAGATGTTCCACACAGGCAACTTTTCTCCACAACCAAAGTGTATCCTATTAAGGCTTAGAAGTTTAAAAAAGAAAAATTAGCCATTTTTCAATGAAAGCTTTAAATAAATCCTTTCCAAGTTTCAGGCTCCCTGAGTGTGCGCAAAGTATGTTTGTCAGAAACATTGCCCTACTGGGTGCAAATGTGACACTAAGGCATTGTCCTATTTGATGACTCCTGGGCCACACATTCACAGAACTGAGTCCAGCTCATATCTGCTTGATTCTGAAGCCCAAGGTTTTCTTGTTTGTTTGGTTTTATTTTTTTACTGTTTTGTGATGTTGGGGATGGAACTCAGCCTTCTCTCTGCTTGTCCAGGAGGTCAGCGGCATCCTGACCACCCCTCCTCCTTCCTCCTTATGGAATGGACAAAATTCATTAAGGATGCCTGCATCAGCCTAGGTGCCTGTCAGTCAATGAATGGATTTTTTAAATGTGGTATATCTACACAATGAAGTATTAGTCAGCCATAAAGAAGAATGAAATGATGTCACTTGCAGGAAAATGGATGGAGTGAGAGGTCATCATGTTAAGTGAAACAAGCCAGACTGAGAAAGGCAACTGTCACTTATACTCTCTCATATGTGGAATCTAGTCCTTAAACATTAATGACAGGAATGTAAGACAGGTTCTGTTTGGGTGTGGGTACAATGGGAGGGTGGAGGTCAAAAGGACAGAGTATAGGTGGTAGACATGGTTGAAGACTTACACACATGTATGAATAGAGAAATGAAACCTGTTGAAAGTGTTTAAAGGAGGGGGAAAGAGGGGGAGGGGGAACTTTAGAGGGGGTAAATTTGATTGGGGTACATTGTATGCATATATGGAAATATCACAATGAAACCCCTTTGTGCAAGTACTATACCTAATAAAAACAGGGGAAAACCCTACTCTCAGAAAAAGATGTTGGGAGCCCAGGTGCATGGGGCTTGGCTTTGGTGCGGGAGCCGCAGCAAGGTCACGGTGGTGTTCAGAACCTTGTTAAACAATCGTGCTGTCTCATTTGGGATTCCTTGTTTCTGTAGACCCAGAGACAAGGATCAGGGTAAGTGGATTATTTGAGAGGTGATCCCAGACTACCCCAATATGTGAGTAAGGAGTGAAGAGAGAGATAAGGTAGCCAGCACTAGGTACATCAAAGAGTAGGTTACAGCTGTGGGTATCCTATCCCAGGATGAATAGGACCCGGGCCACCCTGCCTAAGCAGAGGAAACTGGGTATTCACCAACCAGCTCCCAGCTCCAATGGCATGAGGGCTCCAGGGACTCCAACCAGGCTCTCCAGCAACACATTTCGGGGGTGTGCAGCAAAAGCTACCACAGAAAAGGGGAGAGTGGCCTCTGTTTCTTGGGTACCTACTGTGTGCCAAGTGTCTGTCCTCAGCACCTTACTTGTACCCTCTCCTCAGTCCTCACTTTCAAGGAAGAAACTGAAGTTCAAAGTGGCTTGGCGACTTGCCTGTGCATTAGAGGTGTTTCTCTGGGGTTTTCTGTACAAGATAGATGTGTTTTCACCCCTAAAGCTGCCCTCTGAAGCCCTGGGCTGGAAGAAAGAGCCATGTCCTGTTCTTTGGCCAGAGGTGAACAAAGGCTTTTCCATTACTGCAAGAGACAAGTGATAAGGAAAATACCAGGGAAGAGGGCAGAAAATGGGCCAAGGTCATAGGTCATCCCTGGTTCTCCTTTCCTGGTTTGAAGGTGGTGCAAAGTTTAAATTAAATTGCTTGTCCCTGCTTCAGAGGGCTTCCCTGCCTGTGGGAGTCACCCTTCCAGCTGGGTTGTTAGAAAAGACTCCTAGGTGGGGGTGGCAGAAGGGAAACCTTTCTTTCTGGAAGCTTCCAGGAAGAAGTGTAGCTATTCCAAGTGCAGGCATTGCTTGGAGTGACTCCCCAACTCAGGGCTTTCCAAACAGCAGCCTGACTGTGTCACTGTCCCCCAAAACCTGCAGGGGTCTTCCATGCCTGGAGAGCCAGATGCAGGCTCCTTGGGGCTTTTTTTTCGGGGGGGGGACCCTGCCCATCTCCCCCTCCGTTTGTCCTCAACACTCATGTGCTTTTTAACTTCTAACCCTGAACCCATCAAATTTCTTCTTGTCCCCCAAACTTTTGCCTCAGAACTCAACTCCAGTGTCACCCCTGTGGGAGACATGTACCACCAATCGCACACACTCTTAATGGCTTTCAGCCACCTCAGACTTTCTGATACTAAGAGCTTCCTTCTCTGTTGGAAGATCCAAACTCTGTGAGTCAGTGTTTCCCAGTCTAATTCAGCCATTCATTCAGTACTCCACTGTGATTTTATCACATTTATGTATCAGCCCTGCTATTATTTTAAAATATATTTTATTCCTAATGGACACATAGTACTTGTGTATTTATGGGGTACGATGTGACATTTCAGTACATGTATACAGTGTGTAATGATCAGATGAGGGGAATGTGTGTCTACCACTTCAGACATTTACTATCTCTATTCCCCCTTTTTGAGACAGGGCCTCAATATGTAGCCCAGATCTTCCTGCACCTACCTCCGAAGTGCTGGGATTATAGATATGAGCCACTGCACCTGCTCTTACAGTCTTTTTAACTTAAATGCATTTATGTAAAGATGAAACCATGTCTTGTTGTTGTGAACAGAAAATCAACATTATTTGTCATTCATATAAGGCAACCCCAAAAATCTCCAGATATTCAAATGGAAAACCACACTGATTCAAGTCAATGGGGAGTGTTGTCCGTCTGCACCTGTGTTTGGGAGACCTCGCTGGTGCACTCAGATGGAAGGAGAGGAGCTAACATTCTCACCCTATGTTGTGCTACCTGTGTTTCCTCTCTGCCTCTTGGTGCAGGGCTCATCAGGGGCATGAAAGAGTGAACAGAGACAACTGAGAAAAAATGATGGACATAATATAGATTGCAATGAATACATCTCTGTGTAGATATGCAGATATATAGATAGCAATCTGACCAGTACTTCCCCCACCCGCACTGCATCAGACTCACCTGGGGTGCAGGTGAAATGCAGGCTCCTGCTTGTTACAGCCTTGCCTCAGAGGTGCCAACCAGTACATGTGGGGTGGGTCCCAGAGAAGTTCCTGGAAGGTGCTGCTGCTCAGGGGACTCCACTTTAAAAACCACTGAGCTAGATTCAATGCCTAGTCTGTGTCTGGACAATCAAGCCATTCTGTGAAAGAGAACTATCAAGCCCCTAGAGGGGATGCAGGTAGAGGGGAATGTAAAGTCCCCACTTCTCTCTATAGTGTCTGTGGCTCTCTATTTTAATCCCAAGCCACTAAGCAGCCACCTGAGCAAGACGTTGGCTGTTGGAAGTTCCAGTGCTGCACACAAAAATGGTGGGGATTCCAGGGTGGAAGGGATGGAGCCCCTAGCATCTTCCATAGTGGTGTCCATCCTCTTGACATAAAACTCTGAAAGAAAAAGCAAAGCAGCCTGCCATGATGGGGGGTTTTACTATTCTATGAAGTCAGGCAATGGTAGGAGGAGAGCAAGGTGAATTTTAGACTTGACTTCAGAGAAAGACATTTGATTCTAAACTCAACTTAATACCTATTTCCAATCTCACCCTAATTAGAAGTTCTGGTTCTATGTCTCTGACAGCTTGACCCTTTAGGATAAATGAGAGGTCACCTTTGGGACAACCCACCATGACTCTCCACCCACACATGAATCCGTCTGTCCACAGATCTTTCCATCTATCCATCCATCCATCAACCATCCACCCATCTCTCCATCCTTCCACTCACCCATCCATTCATCTACCCATTTTTTCCACTCATCCATCCACTCACTCATCCATCAACACATCCATCTACTCATCCATCCATCCACCTATTTCCTCTCTTTTCCTCTCAGGTTAAAGTGCCACAACAAATGCACCAAAGAAGCCCCACCCTGTCATCTCCTGATCATCCACCGAGGAGGTAAGTATTTAACACTGACTTCCCTAGGCTAGTGGTGGGGTGGGGAGTGCTTGCAGACCACCCTTGACAGCATTTCTCAGCCCCAGACTTGTCCACCCCACTTCTTTCCTTCTGGCACAGTCTTGCTGACAGCTGTCTTCTTTATCCATCCTGCATGCCTGTCCTCCCAAGCACTTTCCCTCTCAAATTTCCCCTGTCCTCTCTTCCCCCCATCTCCACGGCTTGTCCCTCCCCGAGCTGAGTGTTTTTCCATTAGGTGCTCTCCACGCTCAATTGGCCTTGCAGAAGTGGTCATGGGGAGGGGTCTGGCTTGGGTCTGTTGGTTGGGGCCATCTGTGTTCCATCCTCTGGGGCCCTGGGAGTGTCTGGGCTAACCTGACCAGGCAGGGAGGTGATTGCCCATCTTTTTCCATGCAAAAGCAAGACCGATAGAGCTGGAAGGAAAGGCTTTTTTCCCTGCCTGCCACAGACTCTATAGGAGATAACTCTTTGGAAAGCCTTGTCATTTAGTTTTGAAAATGATTCCCCCGGTTCTTGCCCTGTGGAGTACTTAGTCTGCACTTCATCACTCAACCTGCAGATCCTCCCTGGAGGACCCTGTAGGCCCATACTGTCTAACCCAGTAGCTTCTAGGCACATCTGACTGTTTAAATTTAGATTAATTAAAATGAAATAAAAACACAAACTTAATTACTCAGTCATACCAGCCACACTTCAAGGGTTCAGTAGCCACATGTGGCTACCATATTGGATTTAGTACAGATAGAGAGCACTTTTCATCACTGCAGAAAATTCTCTGGGTGCCATGATCCAGATCCTATTCAAAGCGAGGTACACAGGCCAGCAATATAACCTAGCATCTGGGTGTATGTAAAGCAAACACAGTTTCTGGCCCTACCCCAGACCAACCTAATCAGCATCTGGGTTCTTCCTAGGATTTGGAGGGCATTTCTGTGCACTTTAAAGCTGGGAAGTGTTGCTTACAATCAGGAGCTTTCTGTAGACCCAAACATCTATGAGAGCCAGGCAAAAATCCTAAACAAGAGAAAGCTGGCCAGATGGTCCAGTGCAGACCAGAAAGCCTGGGCACTATCTGGAGAAGGCAGTCACTCCAGCAAAAATGAGAACCTGTGTTGCCAGCATCTGACATTTCACAAAGCCCAAATAAAGAGTTTTGTATGCCATAGACTTATCTATTTTGGCAGTACTGGGATTTGAACTCGGGACCTCCAGCTTGCTAGGCAGGCACTCTACCACTTGAGTCATATCCCCAGCCCTGTACACTTTAGTTATTTTTTGGATAGGGTCTCAGGTTTTTGTCTAGGACTGACCTGGACTGAGATCCTCCGGCCTCTGTCTCTCACATAGAAGGGATTCCATTCATGATCCACCATGCCTGACTTGTTGGTTGAAATGGAGTCTCAATAACTTTTTGCCCAGGCTGACCTTGAACCATGATCCTCCAGATTTCTGCTTCCTACATAGCTGGGATTACAGGTGTAAGCCACTGCATTTGGCCTTCATAGACTTAGTTTTAGATGTTAACAATTTATTAAAATATTTTAAAGTCTTTCCAGCCACCTTCATTGCCACTGCCACCATCTCCAGGTTGGATGAAGCATCAGGGCCGCCAGAGAGCAACTTTGGAGTAAAGCAGTTTGCTAATCCAAGACCAAATCTCCCTTCTTCATCCTCTTAGTCCCCTGGCCTTGGTTAATGTAAGCTCAGGGAATCCAACAGCCCATCGGCAGTTGGGTTTTTATGGTCTTTGCTTTGCTGTTCTCCACAAAGAGAGAAGTGAAGGAAAAGTGTTCACTTCTCCTCTCACGCCCCCTTCCTACTCCACATTCTTAATTAAGAACCGTCTGTCCCTTGAGTAACCAAAAACACTCAATAAGGCTGCCTGGGGTCAGCTTCATCCGGGAATTCACCTCCCATCAAATTCCTCTCTGTAGTGGAGCCCGACTTCCCCGTGCAGGCGAGACACAGCCCGCTGGAAGGTGACCCATGATCAGAGGCTGGCATTTGAAGCAGGCCTCCCCCCCTTCCTCCTACCTTCAAGGTCCTGCTGTCTGTGCTTCAAGACAGCAGGTGCTTGAACAAGCAAAGCCTTCGGAACTTTCCAGAAGTCCACCAGCTTTTTGTGCTCCCCCCCACCCGATCACCACCACTGTTAGGGGGGAGTTGAAAATAGACCCCGTTTCCATGGTAATGCCTCCTCAGGCTAAGTAGAGAAATTAAATCCTTGGGTCAATCACCCCACACACCTCCACAATAAAAAAAAAAAAACCTAACGAGGGATACTGAGTTTCAGATGTGAGCCTCTCACTGTTGTTCTTATCCTTGTTCCTGTGAAGAGAGAGATAACGGGGGAGGGGTTTAATAGAGAAGCATTTATTTAGCCTCACCAGTATGCCCAGATTCCTGAGTGGCTTTGGATGTGCTACCCAGGGAAGGATGACCAGCTAGGCCCTTCTCGCAGGGATTCACGGTTGTTTAGGAAATATTGTGTGTCACTTTGTGACCGGCTGCTTAGTCCTTATAAACCCCACGAGTAACAAAAAGGGACAGGTGGCCGCCGTGAACTTGTGCACTGATGGAGGAATCAGGGAACTCTTGTATTTGAAATGAGGTTCCATTCTGAAATGAATGCTAAAATGAAACAGTCATGGTATCGGAGAAATAAACACGACAGCTTAATTTTTTTTCCTATTTTTATTGTCAAAAAGTCAGGTATTAACAATGCAAAAGATTGGAGAACACCTGGCCCCCACCACGGTGATAGGATGGTGACTGTCACTTTCAGTATTGGGGGAGGGTGTGTGTGCTCAGTTCTCCCGGCACAACCAAAGTCAAAGCCATACTTAAACTCTCAAATCGCTGTTTTTACCCCTACGGATCCAGCAAGGTTAGTCCGGACAGAGTCGGTCCCATGTGACATCAACAACCCTGTAAGGAAGCCACCCCGGTATTCAGACCTGCACATCAGTCAGACGCTCCCCAAAACCAACAAAATCAACAAGGTGAGGCTGGGCTTCTGCTGGGCCCGGGCAGGTGTGTGGGGGGCACCTCAGGTGGTGGGCAGAGGGAGGATGGGAACTTGGTGTGGCACTCCTCTGCCAGCCCTCCTGGCTCTCCTGGCTCTCTCTTCTGTGTGGGTAGTGTGGAGAGCAGCTTTCTGGGAGCATGGGGCCATCGGTAGAGAAATGCACATGCCAGATATCTGTGTCATTTAGAGAGAGGGCCCTGGAAATAAGAACGAGCGTGAGGAGAATGGCACAATCGGGATGGGAAGCGAAGCCCACGGGAGGGTCCTTCGTGCATCCCAGCCTGCTCTCGCAGTGACATGTCTCCCCATCTGTCCCAGCTTTCTGAACATCTGTTGAACTAAGGGCTGGAGAGCTGTGTCTCAGCTTCCGGTGCAGACTGGTTGGGCTGATGTCTTTGGGGACCCTGAGCTCTGAGTGACAGCCAGTTTGCTTGGCTTCTTTCCTTGGGTGGATGGTCAACAGTGAGCCTCTCTGCACATCTCTCTTTCCAGCATGGTTCCTCCATCTCTTGCTTGGTCTGCTCCTGTGCCAAAGCTTATCCCAGAGACACTTCCGGTCCCACAATAGCAGGCAGGGGGTCACATTCTGTGCCAAGAGGCCATTTCTTGAGTCACACAAGGTCTCTATGCATTGAAGGTGGACCGAGTGTGATCCAACCCAAAGGATGCGGGAGGTCATTGATCTGAGTGCATCCAGTAGCTGTTGACCTGTCCTTGGCAAAGGTCAGTCTGTGTCCCTGCACCCCTGCCCCATCCCTTCTCCAGAGACAGCCAGAGTAATCCTGAATGAAGGCCATTTGGATCCTGTCACTCAGCTTTAAAACTGTCCAGTGGCTTTCTGGTGCTTTCCAAAATCAAATCTGATCCTTCCCTGCGGCCCGCAAGGCTGAGAATAATTTGGTCCTCTCTCCATCTCTGACCTGTCCTTCCATCCTCCCGCACAAGTCCATATGTTCTTTTCCTCTCATACTATCACCCACGGCTTTTGCTAGTAGACCTCAGAGTCGGTCACCATCTGGTTCCTTGTGACATCATCCTAGCAGTGGGGAGAGCTTGGGCTCTGGACTCAGGAAACCTGGCAGCCAGCCTTGGCTTCCTCCCCTCACTGGCTGTGGAACTTTGGGTAAGCAAGCCAATCGCTCAAAGCCTCAGTTTTTCTATACGTAAAATGGAGGTGTTCAGTTTTCTGCTGCTGTACAACAAACTGTACCACGCTTAGAGGGGTACCACACCCACTCTTACAGTCTTCTCACAGGTCTGGGGGTCCAGGCACTTGCTTGGGAATACGCGCACAGCTGGTGGTTAGAAGTATCTAGAACAGGGATTGGTATATCACAGTCCACAAGCCAAGCCCATTCTGTTACCTATTTTTGTAAATAAAACTTTATTAGAACTGGGCATGACAGTATAGGTTATAATCCTAGCACTTGGGAGGCAGGGATAGAAGGATCAAGAGTTCGAGGCCAGCCTGGGCTGCAGAGTGAGACCCTGTCTCAAAAAAACAAAACAAAAAGGGCTGGAGGTGTGGCTCAAGTGGTAGAGCACCTGCCTAGCAAGTGTGAGGCCCTGAGTTCAAACCCCCTTGCTGCCAAAAAAAAAAAAACCAAAAAGCAAAAAACAATTGGAACTCAGCTATACCTCTATTACCTGTGATAGCTTTTGTGTTATCGCAGTGGGTGCCCGAGCTGGGATGAGTCAAAATCTGGGCTTGGCGAAGGTCCATGGGTGCATGTGGACTTGTCTCGTGGACTGGGCTTCCTTCCAATATGGCTGCTTCTGGGTGGGTGGGCTTCTTACATGGCAGCATGTGCCTCAAAAAGTGTCAGAACTAGCAGCCAAGGTGGCAGAACTTTACTAATGACTGCAATCACAGGTCATGAGATCTGAGAGGAGACCTGGGCCCCAACTGTTTTGTTTTTGGTTTTTTTTGGCAGTGCTGGGATTTGAACTCAGGTCCTCATGCTTGTTGGCAAGTGCTCTACCACTTGAATCATACCTCCATCCCTTTTTGCTTTAGCTTATTTTTTCAGATACGTTCTCATGCTTTTCTGCCCAGGCTGGCTTCAGATCAGGATCCTCCTACCTAAACTTCCTCTATAGCTGGGATTACAGCTGTGTACCAACACACTTGGTTTATTTGTTGAGATGGAGTCCTGCCAATTTTTTTTCCTGGGGTGGTCTCCAACTACAGTCCTTTTGATCTCTGCTTCCACTGTAGCAGGAATTACAGATGTGAGCCACCACACCCAGCCTAGACCCCAACTCTTAATGGGAAAAGTCCAACTGTCTAAGGATTTGGGTCCATGTTTGAAAACTCCCAGGGTGGTCAAAAAGAGCCCCACCTCCAAGAGTCATGTAAGTGAAATGAAATGATCAACATTTTAAAGCACCGTGCAGTCCTGGCACCCGGTAAATGTACAAGAAATTCTAGCTAGTATTATTAACTTGTGACCTCCAATCAAGATGTCAGGTGGGGTGACCTTTTCCTATCAGAACATGGGGGTGTCTTAGGACTGGGGATGAAGCTCAGAGGTACAGGGCTTGCCTAGCATGTGAGAGGCACTGGGTTCCAGCCTCAGCACCACAAAAACAAATTTAAAAGTTAATTAAACTAAAAAGCAAAAAATTCAAACAAAAACCCCATGTGCTAATAATGTATGCTAACTAAAAAATCAAGGAAAAAAGCAAAAGATATGAGTCTTTAAAAGAGGGGATCCCCACTGCCTGGAGTGCTGAGGGACTTGAATGGTGAGACCCCTGGGAAGTAGCTGAGCCCCTCTTAGAAACCACAGTTCCCTTTGTGACATCTTAAAAGGCCAGGGACCCAGAGATGCTTTGAGACCTTTCCCTCTGGCTTTACAGGCACTGAGGCCCCTTGGTGTCAGATCGAACAAAAGCACAGGTCAGCTGGATTAGTGATTGTGACATGATTCCACTTGTCTGCCAGCAGGAGAATTTGATCAAGGAAATAAATTAACCTCTATTTAGAAAGCAGTTTTGACATGAAGGTGGACAGGCTCTATCATGAGGCTGGGTTATTTTTTCCCTCTTTCTCTCTCACTGGCTTCATGCAGATTCCTTTTGTCAGGCAATGATGTGGTTAGTGTGATAGATTTCTGAGCCAATTTAGGTTGAAGATTTCCTTTGCATTCCTCTTAGTCTCTTCTTCCTGTCTGGCTCGATCCATGCAGTTCTCAGAGGCCTTGCTTTGTCACCTGCCATGGTGGCTGGAATGTGGACTTTGGAGTCTGAAGGCCTGGGCTTGTGACAACTCAGCTCCTTACCTTGCTATGTGACTGTTGGCAGGCCATTTCAAGTCTGTCTGCCTCAGTGTTCCTCTGTAAACTGGGCAGTGTAAATAGGAGGTATTATTGGGGCTATAGAGAGGTTAGAGGTATGGCAAGTAAAAGGGATTTAGTGCAACACTGGGTAGTCAGGGCCTGGAAATAGTTTGATGAAGAAGATGGAGGAGGAAGAGGAAGAGAAACAAAAGAAAGATGGGAGGAACAAAGAAAAAGAAGGAGAAGGAGGAGGAAAAGGAAGAGGAGGTGTAAGAAAAAGGAGGAAAGGGGGAGGGAGAAGAGGAATAAGGAAGGAGGAAGAAGAGGAAGAAAACAAGGAAGGAAAAAGGGGAGAAGGAGGAAAGAAGGAAGAAGAGGAAGGATGGAGGAGATGGAAGAGGATAGAGGGAATGGCGTTGGTGGTGAGGGATGGAGGCAAGGGTGAAGGATGGTGGAGTATAAAGGAGATGGAAGGGGGCAGAGAAGAGGGAGGAGAAGAAGTAGCAGTAGCATCTCCCAGCTCCTCAGGGGACAGCCTTGGCATCAGGCTGCCATCAGCAGAGGCTGAAGTTCTACCTCCCAGCTGTGGTCCAGTTGTTTGGAGGGGCTGCATGCTATCTTGCTGCTTTTAGCTGGTGACAAGGAACAGAGACCCCCCTAGCCAGCTCAGCAATGTGAGTTGTCTGCTGGACCTGGGGCAACCAGGGGAAGAGTCATCGCCATCAGGAACCTGGGCCTTATGAAACCAGGTAAGGAGGGTGGGCTAATCTGACCACAAGCAAGACCAGATTGTCATTCTGTCTCCATCATGAACAGGAGCCTGGTACTCTGGGGTTCTGCTCTGTTCTGTTGCTGCTGGCTGGCTCCTTGTTCCTTGCTCTCAGCTGTGTCGTTACTCCTACCTGCAAAGTTCCTTCTCCTAATAAACTTTGCTGATTTGTTCTGGGTGTCTTATGGACCCTTGATTCTCATTTTCTCTCACCTCTCCTCAGTCTTTCCTCCTAACGCTTCCAGCTACTCTTCTTATTGGACCAGCTCAGCATTCCATTCTGTATCATTGGTTACTGACCAGCTGCCATTATGGTCCTATGTTGGGAGTGGGCCAGGGAGGTCATAAGACAAATACATCCGTGTGTTTAGGACAGGCCATTCAGATTCAGCCTCTGCTAAATCTGAATTGATTTAGCCTCTGCTAAATCTAATTGGTAAGGATGCCCTTACCAATGCCTAAGTACACAGCTGGTGAGGTGGGGATCTGTGAGGTGAACAAAGTCCTGTTTGGTTGCCAGAGTCAGGGATGAGCTTTGCATTTTCTGCACAACCTTAGGTTTCTGGACCAAGTGACACTAACTGTGTGACTCCAGAAAGTCTTCTACATCTCAGAGTTCCCACCTACAGAAGGACGGGATGGCTTGGGTGGTCTCTGAGGAACTGTTCCATCCCTTGTTTGGGTTCAGAAACAGGACTGAGAACATCAGCCCTTCCCTGCAGATCTAGCAGAGTTCAAGTTTTCCTCTGATGGAGTATCACCTCTAGGGGATGGTCCTATCACAACGCACACCTGGGCCTCACCTTGGAAGGAAGGAATTTTCTTTCCTATTGTAACAACTCTGCCAGGGAAGGAGCACCATGCTTATTAATGAGCCAGCCAAGAGCTGTACACATTACAAAGAGCTAATTGTTATCCTGAGAA